CCCCCCTCCCACAACAGACAATTTTCCTGGGTCGTGACGGCTCAATGATCCGCAAGATCTCGAGCCAGGCCAAGCAGGCAATGATGGACACGTTCAGATGTGACGTACGCCTCAAACTGGTGGCTCTGCTCAAACACACGACGTCCAGCAACAGATGACTTCTTCATACAACAGATGACTTCAACGTACACCAACAAATGAACTTCTCCATGTATAGAACAACAGATGTCTTCAACGTACATATTTTTCTCACGACTGGTTTGGCCGTGACAGACAAAGACGGAAGCCCGCCTCCTAAATGATCTAAATTATGTCGATGGGGGCGTAAAAACACCCACATTTTTACGAATAAAAACTACTGCAACAATTGAGTCTTCCGAGGTGAAATGTATCTGATGGTGTGAGAAACTGCCTGTTTAGTTTGTTCAGTCTACACCCACCATATTCGCTGCTCAACTGTCAAAAACATTTTTTACAAAAGAATTCACAGAAAACCTCTATCATCATCATGTCTTAAAAATGTCATTTATTGAATCCACTGTTATCCACGTTGACAGTAACTGGCATGGATCAAAGACAACACAACAACAATGCCACCATCCAGAGGATGAGAATTTAAAAAAAAAAAAAACACAAAAAAAAACTCACATCTTTTTTAAAAAAGAAATAATACCTGATGATACAAACACTGTTGTTATCTGCCACATCCAAACACAATATGGAAATAAATATTCTCCCACACACCAGCGTGGCACAGACCACAGTATAGAAGCACCCTTCACCAAGTGTAATAAACGTCGGAGTACAGGATGCCATTTTGGCAAACACGCAGTCAACTTCCTCAAACTCTCGTACAATCATCAGTATGCCATATTTGGCAAACACGCAGTCAACTTCCTCAAACTCTCGTACAATCATCAGTATGCCATTTTTGGCAAACACGCAGCCAAATTCCATAATTACTCTCTCATGACTCGTACAATAATCAGTATGCCATATTTGGCAAACACGCAGCCAAATTCCTCAAACTCTCGTACAATAATCAGTATGCCATATTGGCAAACACGCAGCCAAATTCCATAATTACTCTCGTACAATAATCAGTATGCCATTTGGCAAACACGCAGTCACTCTCCATCACTCTCACATGATAGTAATATCTGCATTTGTAAGGCAGCGTGGTGACATCAGGTGCTCGTCAAAATCAAAATAATGAAAGTGAAAAACCTGACATTTTTCCGCATGTTTTTGAATTTTTTTCGACTCAATACCTGTTATGCCCATTGCCATTCAAAACACATTTGAGTGTGGACTTTACCGAAAAATGTTGATTAAAGGCACAAAAAATGAAAATTTTCACTTTCCACGAGCTCTCAAGCTCAGGAAATAACTAAATTTGGCTGCCATTTTCTCGTTCATTTTACCTCTGAAACCAGGCGACCCCACCTCCTTCAATCACAAATATCTCAACTTGTATCCAAGATAAATGGTTATTGTTTTCATCGAAAGAAAGGCAAATGAACTGGCTTTAAGATGATCCCAATAACTCCATATGCCAAAAAACTGACGAGCGCCAGATTCCACCGCGCCCTGACACATTCGCGCCTCAATCAATCCAGTGCCAATACCCAGCACACGCATCAACTAAAACAGGAAGTCTTTTTTCTTCTCCTCTTGAGATTTCCCAAGACCATGCACACATTCTCCACCATGCACACATTCTCCACCATGCACACATTCTCCACCATGCACACATTCTCCATCATGCACACATTCTCCATCCATCATGCATACATCGCAGCCAGACTAGAACACATCCATCCAACAACTATCAGAACTGCCAACCCCTTCATGGCAAATGGTTATACAGTGGAATCCTGTTATGACGAGAGGGAGGGGACCGGTGCGAAGTGGAATCCTGTTATGACGAAAGGGAGGGGACCGGTGCGAAATGTCCTTTGTAGCAGGATTCTCGGTACAAGGGATCCAGTAATAAATTCAAGGGAAATGGTAAACTAGGCCTAATCAATGAGTTTGGCGTTCTGTTTATTCCTTTTTGTATTTCCCCTTAACCATGATTTGGTTCAACATGATCTCTAGGTTTTACTTGATCAAAAATGGAATTAGGTTTCTTTCTCTAGCACTAGCAATGTTGGCAGCTCAGCGTTGGCGATCAGAAAGAAGGGGCTCTGACTCTAGGCTAACTCGCCAGCTGTGTTGTCCCCCACCCCACCACACACTGTGGTGCGTTGCGTCTGCTTGCGCACATCACACATTCACTCCATCCATCTATCACAGCATTGTGACCTCTCCATCCCGCACCAGAGAAGTGAGAGGCATGGTATGCCTAGATAATCTAGACTGGGCTGGCCTATCATGCGATGCGTTCTGCTTGTCTGCGCATGCCACACCCTCCCCACTCATTCGCTCCGGCCTTCATTGTTGGTTCGCGTGGGCTCTACCATTCTTTGTTTCGCTGGATCACCAACAACTTTCTCAACTGGCAAGGTTTTATAATAGATCTATGTAATTGGTCTGTGCGCTGTGCACAGCAGCAGCAATATTCCGTTAAAACCGACTCGTGTGACTGTCTGATTGCGCAATAGCAGTATTTTATTTACAAAGACAAAGAAGGGGAAAAAACGGGGTTTTACAATAGTGTCTTTATAACTCTTTAAAGTTCTCATTGTTTCAGGACTCGTTATAAGAGGACTCCACTGTATTATGTGAGGCATCGTGGTGAAATCAGGCGCTCGTCAAAATAATGAAAAAGGCATTTTTGTGCCAGTTTGGCAATTTTTATCAAATTTTTGTTTTTTGAATCCACATCTCATGTAAACATATAAAAACACATTTCCATGTGAATTTTACTGAAAAACATTGATTAAAGCCACAAAATATGTCATTTTTCAGTTTTCAAGGACTCTCAAGGTATTGAAGTTACCAAAATTTGGCGGCAATTTTCTCTGTAATTTTACCACTGAAACCAGGCGCCCCCACCTTCTATGGCCAGTATCTTTACTTCAATTCAAGATAGATGGGTACTTTTTTCATAGACAGCAAGGCAAATGAATAAGTTCTCAGATGATACCAAATTATTAACTCCACATGCCCAAAAATTGACGAGCGCCTGAATCCACCCCGACATGACACATTATATTAATACGTGTATTTTATAACACAAGGATTTCTCATAATCTATACAAAGAAATAGGGGGAGGGGAGAAAATTTTCGCGCCCACGACTACGAGATCACGGAGTTCGTCAACAGAGATGGACTCAACAACTGTTTCCCTTGGCTTAGCGGTAAACCATACACTGAACGCTCACCATAGTTAGAAAAAATAAATAAATCATGCAAATTGATCAGCATCTTTCGAGGGGCAAAAAAAGTGCAAATCTGATCTGTTCAGGTTTGTTTTTTGGGTTTTTTCCAGTGTTTTACTGCACTTGCAACACAATAAGGTCATATAAAATAAGTGGCGAAGACTAGAGGTGTTACAAGAGAGTAACAAACACAAAAAAGGAAGGGGGAAGAAGGATCAGGACGATAGATGTTTGATAGGAAAGAAGGAGCAAACCACACCAGAGCACCCGCCAACCACCCACACCAGAGCACCCGCCAACTGTACAAGTTGCTGGGCATGCCTGTAACACACTCGAGCTTTCACTTACACGCGAGAGAATGATCCAACTGTAACACACTCAAGCTTTCACTTGCACACACGCGAGAGAATGATCCAACTGTAACACACTCAAGCTTTCACTAGCACACACGCGAGAGAATGATCCAACTGTAACACACTCAAGCTTTCACTTGCACACACGCGAGAGAATGATCCAACCAACTACAAATGTTGTTAGTAAAGTAAAAAAAATCCCACAAATATAGCCATAGTACAGAAACACCGACTCTCTCTCTCTCTCTCTCTCTCTCTCTCT